TCAGCAGGACTCTCCTTGCCCATATTTCAGTTAGTGAGCGGATAAAGCTGTGGACAAACATGCAGGAAGCAAAGAGGGGCACTGCAGGGACATCAATATCTTGCAATGACTGCGAGAAGAAACTCTGCCCCCACTGAAAACACTCGCTCCCAGCCCAGGGATGTACCTGCTACGCAGGAAGAGCAAGATGGGCCCCCGTCTCCAGTGGTGAGAAACATCATCCGCTGACTAAATGTGCGGAATGCATAGTGCAGAAGCCATTCAATCATTTCTCCCTACTAAGGCACTTCTCTTCCTTGTTTAATGGTATTATAGACACAGGGAGGTCTAATACACTGCATGGGTCTGACCGTCCCCTCGCATGAAGTGGGAGAGGCACACTGAAGGCAGTGAGTTATGTTCACCTGACAGACACACTCTGTGAGACTCCCTGAGGATAGATGCACTGTGCTGCTTCCCCTCTCCCTCTGGTATTTTGCTCTCCCTATTTTAATGAAGTGAATGCAGCACAGATAAAAGTCCCTTGGCACTTCTTGGTTTACTAGTCCCTTTCCCGAGCACAAGTCCTTTCCATCCTTGCTCAGAAAGAATGGGCTGAAGCACCATTACTCAGCTGATTTACAACTGAACTGAGAAATGCCCTGGGGGAGACAGGAGGAGGAATGCCTCTGGTAAGGCACTGACAAGCAGACCACGTAAGCAGAGAGGTACGAAGCCAGTTCAGACAGCTACACAGAGAAGAGCCAACGTGCAGATTGCTGCAAAATAATATTGAAGGATCCATATGAGCTTTCAGTCATCTCTCAGCAGCTGCTCCCTTGGTGCATGCAGACGGGGTAGCTCAGTTTTTTAACTCATTGCCCTATAAAAATACTTCAAGATCTAGTGCAAAGGCAATTATGCAAAACTTAATTCTGCACCAAGAGGGATTACAGAAGCATTTTATAAGAAGTGGCATAGTAAAAGGCAATTGCACGAGCCAGCAAGCAGCTCAATTAAAATGACATCTTGCTAAGCTGCTCTGCGTCAGTCAGCCTTTGAATGAAGGCTCACGCCGAGGGTCCGCCGTAGCGGCCTGTGCTCTTTTCAGTATCCAAGCAACATGGCAAAGCCTGCCAGCACACAAATTACAAGCAGTACCTTATTTCCAGAGACAGAGAAGGGAACCAGAGGTTAACACACACACGCAGGGATGCTCAGCTCAGGCATATGTGAAGACATTGGTTTGACACTCAGGAGAGGGTAAGCACATCTCTTATCTGGTAACCGCCCAACCTTGGAAAGCAAGTCGCAGCTGCTGGCCTCATCCAGAGGGTCATGCTGAAGATCAAAATCTCGTGGCTGAGAAAAATCAGTGAGCTTCCCCACGTGCTGTTACAAAGATGCCTCCCAAAAACCCACACGGTGCACATGCAGCACAGCACCATGAGGTTCTGCACAGACACAGGCTTCGTACTGGCCACTTTCAAGGCACATATATTCAGACGGCCCATCCACTCAGGCAAAATACTTAGGTTTTATATTGCATGGATCATTTAAACTTTAACGCAGCTCTTAGTGCACCAACACCCCAGCAGACAGCACCTGTTCTCACACAGGAGACTTCCAAGACAGCAAGTAGAAGTCATAGGAAGACAGGCCTCTCCCGTACCCTCCCCTGCCTAAGCCTTCTCACAAGGTAATCTCAATTAAAAAAATGTTTATGGAAAACTTTTTGAAAGTAGTATCTAGAGACAGAAAGATTCATCCAGATCTTACAAGTCCAAAGAAACTTCACATGACACCAAATAGTATAAAACAGAGCTTTCAACTATTTTGCTTCCCCCACCGCTCAAAAAAAAAAAAAAAAAAAAAACCACACCAAACTTGAACAAAAGTCACATTTGAGGCAAACAGAAAAAACCCTCTTTCCAAATGAAAAGAAAATGGTCAAAACTTTCAGATCAGCAAGAATACTTTCAGGTTATCGTGGTCATCTGTACACTACCAATCACCCTCTGCTTGTGTGGTACGTGGAATAATCGGTTCAGTGCTAGAAATACAGCACTAGAAGCCACATGGACACTTATCAGTACTGCAGAGCAGCATCAGCTCCACCTGGGGATTATCGTCCCCATCCCTTTGGTCCCCAAATAGTTGTCATGAGCCAACAGCGGGCACTACCTGCCAGGCTCTGCCAGCGCCTTCTCCCACGAGAGGGGGCAGCAGCAGCAAGCAAAACGCTGCAGAGACATGCCAGAAGTTGACTTGCTTCGGGGTTTACTTTGGGTTGCGTTTTTGTTTAGGCTTAAATCAAACTTGGTCAATTGTGGTAAGACGTACCCAGCATGCAATTATTCCTGTAACCCTGCCTTGCCCTCCTCTGCTGTTTTAGGATGACACAGGTTGATTTATCAGTGACAGCACAAGAGGGTCAAGAAGCGAGTTAGCCTCTCAATGAAAACATTCTTGCAGTTTTTTTCCGAGACTTGTTGATCAGTACCACAGCAGCTCCCCGAGCTGCTGGCACTCACCTTTGCCTGTGACCATCTCAAACACCATCCGGGAAGGGCAATATATTAAACAGAGCTGCAGTGGAAAAAGCCACAGGCACGTGAAAGGATACATCCCCAGGATAACTGCTTCAAGGCATTTGATAGGCAAGGCCTCCCTGGTCATTTCTTTTGCTGTCTCCATTAACCTAGGACAGAAACAGAAAGGTTTTCAGTCCCTTCAGTTGGAGCAGTTGACAGGAATCAAAGGGTCCTCTCATACACTGAGAGCCAGGCGCCTCTGGTTCTTATCTCAGCAAGTGCTGGTGAACTTGATTCTCCTCTTCAGCGACTTGCCAGAGCCCTGTTGACTCCTGGAGGATGAATGGGGCGGGGAGGGAAGGCTTTTGGCATCCCAGTGCCTTCCAGCCTCTGAAGATGGGTTGGAGGAATGCAGTTCTCTCCACTTCTCCGGCAACTCCATGAGCATCACTTTGTAACACAAAACCCTGCTGAGCTGCACAAGCGGGCAATCATGCAAGCTCCCACAGCAGCTGAGAAAGCTGTCATGCCAGGCTGACACCACACCATCAACCAAATAGGTAGCCCACCCCCTTCCACAAGCAGATCCTGAAATCCTGCAGAGTTAAAAAACAAAACAAAAGAAAAAAAAAAACCTGGAAGGAGATAAAAACATGCCAGAAGAGTCATATTCAGTGACACACACACGAAAAAAAAAAAAGCTAAAAACCAAACCAAAGGTTGGCTTCTATTTTGAAGTCTTCTCCATCCCTATCCTTTCCCTGAGAAGAGCTTTGTAAACAGATCCCTACTCTAAGGAAACACCACATTAAATGATAAAATATTTGTATTGGAGAAGATGATGAAAATATGCGTCTGAAACCATTAGAGTTTGGTTGTCCCACTTTCTAATTCACCCACATCACGCATTTTAAACCTTGTATTGACTGCAAATGGCAATACAGCTTCCACTGCTATTACAGCCTGTCACAGCCATTCCCTGTCCCATTTATCCAAGTTAGAAATTATCTTTTCATTTGTAAACAACCGCCCTTTACACTCTGCCTGCAGTACAGAAGACAAATTAGAGTTAGCCTGCCTCCTACACTCTCACAATCGGCCACAGAAACCCCACTGCTGGAAGCAGGGAGCAGCTCTGGCAAGGGCACACAATGGGGCCCCTTCATCCCCCACAGTGGCTCCTCAGTGCTGGTTGCAGCAGTTGCCGCTGCAAAGCCCTGTCTCCGTCCGGAGAAGCATTACATGCAGACGATGCATGGGAGGTACCCATGAACATGACAATCCACTGAATTTCCTATCTTCTAACTCCACAGGGTAGGGGGGGAAGGTCATAGCTGATTATGAATGTGTATCAGAGGCAAGAAAAAGCTCAAGTTGTAAAGCTATTTAGCTTCAAGCCATTTAGTGCGGTGTATGCCTGGTTAATGTGGTCCAAGGGACAGGGCCAGCATCTCCTCCTCAGGTCCACACCTACAGTGACGCCGCTGCCAGCAGGCAAACACAGCAACCGCACTGGAGCTGCCTCATCACCATGGGCAGCATCAGGTCTCCTAACACCTGCTTTCATAAGCTCACTGCTGTCGTGATTTCAAGGTATTGTCAAGCATGGAGATAACATTAATGACTCCACAGCCAGGGAGGGAGTCTTCAAAGTAATTGGCCTAAATGAGCAGTCAAATTACTACCGACTTATCTGTCGCAGCACCACTCACACTATTTAAACACTAAGTTGTATTTAACATGCACTCTATTTGCAAGCCACATATGTGCTTGTTCTGAAGCACACCTCTCCAGGACACTATATGGCTATTAAGACAGATTTAAATCGAACAGGAGAGGCATTTTGCTTGCTTAAAAACACGCTGCCTGCTAGTGCATGGGTACCTCGGCTGTCCCTTCTGAGGCTAGCAGTAGCCCTCCCTTCCTTTTACATAGCATCATCAGATAGCTGGGCTCAGAAGGGACCCCGGGAAGCCCTCCTGTCCCACCTCCTGCTCAAAGCACCCGGGTCCAGGAGCTGCAGCAGGTGCTCAGCAGCCACCCGGGACCTGGCAGCTCAGAGACAGCCACGGCCTCCGGACTGCGACAGTGGTGAGGATCTGTGCAAGGGGAGCATCGGCCAAGAAGCATCACCAACGATCAGCAAACGGGCATCCATCGGCACTCACGGGGCAGGATTCCCACGAGTCCCGGGAAATACTCCGCAAACAGTTGCTTTTTCCTCTGCGTTTGCAACACAGACCACAGGCTTTATGTGGATGACCCAGTTCAATAACCACCGAGAGAGTCTTTCTTCTGCTTTTAACAAGCTTGAGATGAAGCATGGCCTTAAACTCCGTGTTTGCGTTGGAAGCAAAGCCTTCTGAGAATCCCCAAGCCACCACTCTGCCCAAGGTAGCATAAGCCAAATCTAAACCACTCCTCACAGATAATTTTCCAACCTACTTTTAACTGGGTTCTCAAAGGCTTGGGAACCCAACAGTTAATCTATCCTATACTTAAGCTCTCATCTAAGAAGGTCCCCTAATCTTTCCTTTTTTGCAATTTAAACCAGAAGCTATTTCTGCTATCCACAGTGGGCATGGAGACCATTTATTCTCTCTCCTCTTGCAACCGACATTTGTCTACACGACAGGCTGTAATCTACCCTCTCCTCTGTAAACATGAGAAAGGAGACAGATACATTTTTTTATTTTCTTTTCTTTTTAATCCCCTCCTTTCTCTCACCCCAAATCTTCCCTTAGGTCATGTTTTCTAGACCTTGGGCAATGTTTGTTGCTTTCCTTTTGGATTCTCTTCAACTGACTCGCATCTCATGGCCCTTCAGCTGAGCCCACCACACCAGTACAAACAGACCAATTTCCTTCTGAATCCAACTTTCAGTATATTTTTGCTACCAACCCAGTGTTTTTTTTAAGGTCACCTCCATCTGTGCAAAAACTAGCCTTTCCTTCTCCATTGCCTATTCCCACAGCTGGCTATTCCCAAATCCTTTCTCTGTATTTGCCCTTACTCATATACCTCCTGTTTGTTTCAGCCCCGCTCTCCCTTACCCCTCAAGATCACTCTCGATCCCAGTTCCACTTTGCAAAGCCTTGTCACCTTGTCCAGCCTGGACCACAAAGCATATCTATTAGCAAACAATTTGTCTTATCCGTACCACTAATGAAAAAACATTGACCTGGGACAGGGATTGCACACCTCGACTGACAAACTCTGCTGGGCAAGAGCAAGCTGTTGGTTAAGTACAGCTTTTCACCAGGTTGGGTCCTTAGTCAAAATAGTTTCATTTAGACTCAAGGTCCCTGCCTTATCTGGAGGCTGCCAGAAGCCATACTAAAACAAAGAATTATCACAACCACAACTTCTCCCCGATTGACAAAAGCTCTTAAACTCTCAGAGAAGGAAATTATCAGAACCAAACCATGCCAAACTAAATCCATGGTGCCTATAACATACCACCTTGTTATGTTCCAGACACTTGATTATTTGCCCTAGCATTTTTCCTGAAACTGCAGATACTCAAATACTTCCTAAACTTATCTTTTCCTTTATTTTTTTTAAAGGCTGGTATCTTCGCCTTCCCTAGTTTCCAACAAAAGCACCCATCCTCCCCACACCCTCTAACAGAAGTATTAGTGGTTTGGGGGTTGGTTGTCTCTAAGTTCTCTAAGACAGCATCCAGCTCACTTGAAAACAACTAATTACAAGTGCTCTTTGACTTGTCCTTTCCCTATTTTCTTTCACTCCCGAGTACTTACCACACTGTCTCAGATGTTAATCGTGACCAGAAAGGCTGCACCATTGAGCTTGTGAACGAATATTTAAGGAAGGAAGGAAAGAATTAAAAAACAGCATCAAGCATTTCAGTTCCCTGCCTGAGCAGGGTTTGTTTACGGGATTTTCTTTAAATCTTTCCAGTTATCTGAACAGACTCCACATATATCATACTTTAACACAGTACTTTTCCATCTCAGATCACGGTTAGCTGGGAACTAGCCCTAAGCCACCCTCTCCACAGACCCCAGTGAGCACAGGGACAGCCCATCTCTTCCAGTAACTTCGGGGAGACTGCTACAGTCAAAACTAAGCATCATGCAGCTTCCCTCTTGTGGAAGCATTTACACCACTGCCTGAAGTCTGCCAGGCAAATCTCTATTCCAGACCACAGTGAACATTTCTGCCTCTAACAAACATGCTGCACGCTCCTCCCTTGAGATCTAGTCCTTGGCAGATGGTGATATTTCCTTGTAGTAAATTGACTCAAATGTCTTTCAGTGTTTTCAGAAGCCCACCTGGATTATCTCCCTTGCTTTCTGCACTTAAGAGAAGGCCCATAGAGGACATGGCTTTGCATCTTTTGGATGCTTTCTGTTTAAAATACCAGTGCCTGCAGTCATCTCAGGGGAACCATGAATTCCTTTCGCTCCCAGATTTTTCACTAGGGCATCCGATCTCATCTACAGGTTAGAAAAAAGTTCAAACCTTTTAGCATGCTCAAAACTGGAGGATCTCACCAGCTGGCACCCATCACACTAGAGTCACTTCAGAGATGACCATGCTTAGGAGGAGGGGTTGCCCATAACCTTCACCAGAAAGACTCCTACAGACTTCAGTAAACTTCGAATTAGTGAGATCCTCCAGCACATTTTCCACTAAGTTCTCCTTCCCTAGGCCTCAGTACTCACATGCCATCCCTAAAATCTCCCTCTCCCAAGTTTTTCTAAGGATTCTGACAGTTTTATTCTTCCTATAGACGTAAAGAGACAAGTGAAAGACACCAACAGGAGTAAAAGGAGATAAAACAGCGGAGCAGCTACTGCTCTCGTGAATCTTCTCAAAACCAGTTTGTTTCAACAGCAAAAGCACTTCTACCACATGCTGAACATAGCACCGTATCTGTAACATTCTATCTCTGTGCGATAGAGAAGCAGATGTTCAGATGCCTTCTGCATTGTCTCTATTGTCTGGAAATGGTATGAGCCCATTTTTCTTTACAGCCCCATCAGGGTTCCTTAATAACATGGTGTGTTGAAACAGTATTATTTTCCCCCGCCCCACTGTTACTTGGTTGCATCGTTCCCACGTGACTGCTTCTATCACACTCTTTTATTGCAATTGATTACCCATTATATCTGCAGTCACTGAATGACTCTCCATCTTCACAAAGCAGCTTCTGAGCTGTAATTTCTCAAAGTCCCCAGAACCTACCCAAACATCACTTTTCGCTTCAGTCATAGGTCCCACTGAGCAGCTGGCACTTAACTGGAGGGAACAGCACAATACCGCACCTACCTACAACCCCACCAGATGCTCTGTGGAGGATAAAGCTATTCATTCCTCATTGTGGCTCGTGCCTGCATCCTAGAACAGAAGCTTGCAGAGGGCTTATTGCTCCTTGTAAAGCCAGTAATAAAAGTTTGTTGGCATTGAATGCACAGCTGCAGATTACTAGATAGCCAGAAACACATTTTTTTTCCTAAAGCTCTTACACGAAATACACTTGGAAGTTTTAAAGAATGACTATTTCAATTAACAGCGCCATTTTTTATCAGAATGGTTGTACCAACAAAAGCTTTAAAGTAGGTTTTGCCAGCATAATCCTGTATGGGAAAAGAAAACCCAGCTCCATCGGTGTCTGAAATACTTGTACCGCATGCATACACACATCACACACACCACGGATCAGTAGAGCTGAACTCCATTGGGTGCCCTTTACCTACGTAGTACGAAAGGGTACATCATGAAGCCTATGTAAAGGACACCATCCCAGGTTGGTGGATACCTTGTCTACTCTACTAGCAAAGCACTCCTGCGGTGGATATAGGTACACCTGTAAATCTGCATTTTGCGCAAATACAGCAAACTCAGGCCAGGTAAGATGCATTTTCAGACACAGTTTGCCAGTACAACAGGAACACCACACACAGCTTGCAGGATCACGTCTCTACCGCCCCAACTCACACAGCTACGCCAACAGAAATCTAACATTTTCAGAAGTGTTATCTGTAGTCTAGACAAATCCACAGGGCGTCTGCCAGTCTAGAAGCAAGTTCATAGCTAACAGTGACTTTTTCTTAAGAGAGATTGCAAATACTGAATCACAGCAAGCCTGTGTCCCTTAATGTTATGAGTTCCTATAGATAATTTATGCTCTTCTTCCTAAGCGCAGCCAGGCATTTTTATTTTCTCATGTATCACACCAATGCTGACAGTAAATCTCTATAATATCTAGTCCTCCCTCCATAATAGAAAAACTCATTAATATGCCCCAGCTGCTTTAGGACACTTTCACATGAATTTATGAATATTCAATTTCCATCTATTGTTCAGCTTCTTTGTGTCTGGCCACTGCTCTCTTGAAGAGAGGCTGCCAAAGATCTCATAACACTTTCATTAGCTTTGAGCCCTCATATTATGAAACAAGCAACGTTTAATATCAATAAATCACAGCTCTGGGAACAGCCTCAACTTCCAAGAGCCGGTGGCAATAGGAGTTGCTCAGCATCTTGCCCGATAAACTTGCAAAGACAAACTTTGTCTTGCAGCAAGTGAGGCCTTTCACACCACAGAAACTCGCTCAAGGCAGCGCTTGTTGCCTCAGCACAAGACGCCTGTTGTCGCCACGCTGGAAGCAGATTTCTTGCGAAGTGGAACACACCTCCCAGGAAAAAACTTACAGGTGTGGCTGATTTTTCAGCTCTGATGAAAACTGGCCTGGCACCAGGAAAACAAATCATCAAGGACAACTGCAAGAGAAGATATCCTCCACTGGTATGAACAGCCACGCACCCCAGATGAAGCAAAGGAAAGCCTTTAGGGATACCTCAACATTACAGGGCAATCAATGCATTATTCCCCTTCTCAAAGTTGGAGAAACCAAGACAGGGCAGGCGCTCGAGCGCTGCTGCAGTATGACAGGATCTGGGCAGCTAAGCATGCTCCTAACAGCTCTGCTACTCACAGTACTCCTGTCTATCAGGTCAAGGAGCAAAGCGGCACAAGTCTTAGGACTTATCACTGCGCAAGTCCAGCGTACACCAGGTGCCGGCAACTGTGCCTGGCAAGATGGCAGCAGCTGCCCTGAGGGCTTGGACCATTTCCAGGTCTCTCCTTAACTCTCCTTAACTCTGCAGAAGTCCTGCTACCACATACCAAGTCACTCACAGAAGTCCTAACAGCAACAGGAGAGAAGTTAGACACGAGTCCCCAGGCAAACACTAAGGCAGGTAAATAGAGGAAACAGCACCACTTGCGAGAGGATCCAAAGCCACCAGTGCATCTCCAACTGTGAGCACTATATTTTTTCCCTTCTAGGAAAGAGTACCATCCTCATAAGCCAGGCTTTCATTCAGCCCAGGAGGACACCTACCTTTCAAGTGGTGAGTGCTGAGCACAATTCATTTTCATCCTCCACTTCCTTTGAAAAAAGTAATGGGACAAATTTAAAAATGAGTGACCAGCCTGAAAATTGGTTTAAGCTTCTGTAAACCCATCTATCATTCAAGGCACAAGATTTCTTCTAAACTAGTTCCACCAGCGCAGCGAACATTACCTAGAGAAAGGGAGTGGGAAAGATTGCTGCCAGCAAGATGAAAACCTGAAGCACCCAGCTGGGATGGGAACTGGAATTTACAGGGACAGACCATTAGATTAATGACAGACTGCCGGGGAGAGCTAGAGACAGGCCAGTCTACAGGAGTAATATATATTCTGCTTATCTAAATTTCACCCTTAAATAAAAGCATAATGTTGTCAACACCACTTCCCGCCCTAAGCTGCTAATTCACTGGGTCCTATTAAAGAACCATCCTAAGTATGACGCAGTTTCTCCGCGCAAGGCATCCCAGCTCTCTGTTGCCAGGCTCCCTGGGCACATGTTCACACTTGTATTTCACAACTCATCGCCAACCAGTGCATGAGTCCACCACGTGGAAGGAACGGCAAGATAAGCAACAATGGGAGAAGCAAGGCCATCTGTTGTGAACCTCCAGGGGAAAGGACTGCACCTGTGACAATGTCAAAGTTCCTGCAGCATTTTGCACAGTTGAAGTCTTCCTACCATCAGCAAAGGGCATTACAGTGCAACCAGAATATCAGGACTTACACAGTTTCCATAAAATCAGCCCAGCCCTCCCAACCCAACAAGTGAGAACTGAGAGTTTTCCCAGCCCTGTGCATTCAGCTTTGGCCTGCAGCTATGCAGCTCCCACACAGCTGCTGAGCAAGACCAGCCCTTCCACTCATTGGCTCTCGATAGGTCCATTTGCCACCTGGCAGCAAGCTGGCACCCTCCTTGCAAAGGCAGCAACATACACAGTTTTGCCCCTGCCAGAGGAGCCGTGGCACAGAGGAGACAGCCCTCCCATGCCACAGTGCTACAGTGCTTAAATGCCCCAGGTGATCAGCTGGCATGATGTAGGCCACTTCCAGATCCACTTACCCACTTAGAGGTCTGTTTTTTCTAATCTCGAAGAACTGTGTTCCTGTGTGATTGTATCTGAATTTTGTCTGTTAAAAGGAAAGTAACTTGAACAGTCAAACAATAAAATAACAATGCTCAAAAGGTGAATTTCGGTTCCAATTTCCTGTTGAAACATAAAACAAGCAGTAAAAGCCATTGACTCTCAGAGATTAAACCCTCGTATGTGAAATAAAGCAATTTCTTCACTTGTCTTTTTATATAACATCTTAACCATCATTAGGCAGAGAGCCAAGCAAAAAGGTTGTTTGTCTAAAACAACACTTAAATTTGGCATTTGAGGGTTATGAATTCACTTTTTCTCCAGGTCCCACTCACTATTAGGTTACAAGTTTGAAAAAAGTCTCCCATTTGGGCAAGAAAAAGCTTTTATACTCTAGCCAAACCAATCAACGTCATTCATGGTTTGAAAGAACTTATTTCCTTTGTAAGGTTTTAACTGTCAGCCACATAGCTCACATATGACCTGTAAACCAAAAGCAGTGCAGGTGCATCCATTTACATCTAGGAAATACAAAACAGTCTCTAAAAAATACAATGCACTTGAAATGGAAATAACCAGTTAAGTGCGACTCAGGAACATTAGTTCACATAGCATAGAGAGAAAAGTAGTAACTAGCATATGCATGTAGCATAGGAGAAAAGTTCATCACAAAGGATGCCAGCAGACAGTCACCCATCAGTCAAATCTCAGCACCACTTGCCTAGGAAGTGCAAGCTACCATGCAGCAGTAGCATCACCAAAAGCAGCTTCTTCCCTGCTCCTTGAGCATAGCTCTTCAAGCAGCAATGCAGTAAATCAGATCAGGAAACCAATCTGTCCAGTAAAAACAAAAATAAAACCTCAACAAAAAAAAAAAAATTAAAAAAAAAAAATCACACCATACTTTTGCTAGGTTATTTTTCCAGTTGACTCTGTTTCCCCGCCTAGTTCCCAATGTGGCCACGAGATCGTTCACACCAGCAAAACTGGGCTGATGATACCAGGGCAGAAACAGGTGACCCCACGGAGGCAAAGGGTACCTTGCAAGGCATAAATGGCACAGCTGCTGGCTGTATAGCCATGGTCTAAATAAAAACTCCAGCTCGCACCAGGATGCTCTGAACTGACTTCAATTAGAGTTCAGAGTTCTCCAGAAACAAGGCTTTACTTCTCTCATGCCTTCAAAAACTAATTCATGAGGCCCTTTCAGAGTGCTCTGAACAAAGCACACAGCCCCTTTTAGCCCACAAAGGAAGCCCAGACCCTGTTCCCCAGCTCACGTTGAAGCTTTTCTGAACACAGATCCAAACCCCGTGCTTAAGGCCTGCTCTTGCTACATAGCAGAGTACAGGATTTCACGACTGCTGGGGAGGGGGGTAGGGGGCAGAATACAGTTTTTGGAGCTCTGTGCAACATGGTCTCCTCTCTGGCACAACCGTACTGAGCAGCGAGCCTCTCGTCTGCTCAAGTGGCCGACATGCAGAAGAGAAAAGTGCCATCCCCCCGCAGAGCAGGCTGGCCCCAGCCTCCCTCCCCAGGCAGCTGCCGCAGCTCCAACCCCTGCTGCCACCTTGATCCCAGCCACCACTCCCCAGCAGGCTAATCACGCCTGCTATTTTTGGATGCTCTTCCAGCTGCCACCCATATCCTTTCTTAATCCTCACCAGGACTTTACATTCATTCCTCATCCCCACTGCCTCCCCCCACACACACACAAAAAGGGAGAGTTGAGATAAAAGGAAAACAGAGAGAAGAGCAGCATCTGGGCCAGCAACAGTCTCCTCTGACATCATCTGTCAGTAATCAAAATGGTCAAGTATTAGGCATGGGGCAACAACTGGCAGGCTGGATAGATGTGTACATCTCTCATGAGCCCCCCAAGCAAGGTGGGACATGGGGAAGGGAGGATTCCTGTGGTCAGTTCCTGTGCTACAGGCAAGCCTGCCCACCCAGGAGTCAGGACAGCTGCTTGTGCCCCCCACCCCAACGACAAGCACCCCCTGCAAGCTGAGCACGTAGCCAGTCCTCAGGGAGCTTGCAGGGGCTGCCAGGGCAGAGGGAGACAGGGTTTGCCACAACACCGGCTCTCCCTTAGTCACTTTATGATGAGATGCCATATTATTTCTCCAGGCATCACGATCCGATCATAGTATCCTCATAAACCAACTTCAAAAACAAGCATTTCTACTCCCACCAATGTCACATCAGTTAAATTATTCAGTATCATTTAAAGTTAATTACATCTCCCAGAGGATTGCTATGACAAGCTCAGTGCTGCAGGTGCTATCACAAATCTGTAGAGGCATCCTTTCACCCCTGAATGATCCCAAGCACTCGTGACCAGCTAGTGCTTCAGTAAAGCCCCTGTTAATTTATGCCAGGCACAAGCCAGCCTTCTCTCCGGAGACGGCACACTGGGGAAGGATACTGCAGCATCTTCATGTAGGTCTGTATTGCCTGGAGCCACTCTGGGATCGACATGGAGAGCTTGTAGTTTGGCACTGGTGGCATTGGGGGCTGGACACACAAAAAAAGATAAAGAGGTTAGACAGTTACTGCTCCCTGCAGAGCGGATAAGTGATTTACTCAGGCAGCGGCATGCGCTTAGCACAACGCAACACGGCAGCACAGATGGCTCGAACCCCACGTGAACTCAAGCATTGGGCAAAGTCATCCCGCTGACAAGGGGAACTGCCTGCGCACCAGGGCCAGCCCCATCCCTGCCAGAGTGGAGAGGCCAGGGCAGGCCCCTACCATGGCAGGCCGCTTGTCCCAGCCACCAAAGTCCCTCAAACACCACCCTAAGCGGGCAGGCAGTCCCGCACAGAAGGCAAACACTTCCCATTTTTCCCTTCTGGCACAGGGCAGTTTGGATGAGCAGAGTCCCAGCACTGGCTCTGCTGCCCTCCCTCCCACCAGAAGCCATTTCAAGTCTAACTGTTGGTTTCCTCTTCCATGAGAGAAAGATAAAAGGAGACAAGGATCCCAGGCTGCATAATTCCCCATCTGCCACATGTCAGCAGCACGCTTGCTGGACAGGGAGTGCGTGATACCTAGAAGACCACCTGGGACCCAGATATTTAATGATATTAAGACACATAAAGATATAGACTGGCACCGTAATGGGATTTTTCAAAAATCCCATAAGACATCTGCTTGTGCCTAAGCACTTTAAGAAGCTGGGCCCTCAATCCATATTTAATCCCCACAGCTATGTGGCTCCTGAGCCCGTAACCACACAGGAAAGGGGCAGGGCCTTGTCCCAAGTCCCCTCATTTTAGGGGCAAGACTGCAAAATACGGGGTCAGCAGATGTTAAAGTGGGCAGAGTGGCTAAAAGAAGTTAGTACAATTCCCACAAATGTAGTGGAGGAAACAGTTTATTTAAATATTAATGCAGACCCAAATTCAGGAACCAGCAGCTTGGGCAGCCATGACGCAAGGTGCAAAGGAAAGCGTGTGGCATCCGTGGGCTCATGATGTTCTTACAATAGTTTGAAGATCATAAAGCGATATATCACTGTTCTAAATACACTTCAAGTCAGCAATTACAGATAAGAAAAGCAAGTTCGGGTGATATGAGGCTTTCTCTGCCACACAGACTTTCCTCTCCCGGTCCCACCTCCACTAAGATGGAAAGACTGTGTGTTTGCTTTCAGAGTGAGCACCGATAATCCCAAGACAACCAAACCCCAGCATTTACTACATATAGCTAGTTACTACAGTCAAATAGTAAATACACTTCAGAGAAGGGAAAGAATCCTGAAATAGAGACTCCTACATTACTGGCACACAGAAACATATTTTAAGTGGCAAGGAGACAGATGGCCAGGCCTCCAGCACGCTGCCACCATTCCCAGCGCCACACAGGAGACAACCGTGCACACAGGGGTTTTCTCTCCGAACAAGCAGGAATTACGAGCAAGGTTCATTAACGCTGCTTAATCACGATTTCCACACCTAACCTCTTCATTAGAGGCAATTTTTCAGTTCCACAAGTCCCTTCCGGCCCCTTTGGTCTGGACAAATTATTCACCTGTCCCTCTCACACTAAGGCAGGCCTGGACTCAACGCACCAGACGGGCCTCGAGTTTCAGAAGCAGCAAGCGGCTGAAAGAGGGAATTAACAACTTCCAGGGCTA